ATGTTTCACCATCCGCTTATTCTCGTCCAAGCAATCAATTAATTCATCAACCTCGGTAGTCACCTTATTGTTAGTTCGCCTCAATTTATTTCCTATATCTAACACACGTATTAGTAGTTCATCATTGGCTAAAACTGTTTCTCTCGACTTCACCGAATCCATTCTTGTGTATACTCTCGCTTAATTCCTAGAGAAGGTTCTTCGAAATGGAATACAGGGATAATATCTTGCCCTTGCAAATTTTCAGCATAACCAATGATTGTCACAATATAAGCGGATAGCACACGTTTCCAAAGGAGCCATTAGTGTTAATTCCTTGTTTAGATCACCTCAAGATCAGACTCACCCGAAATGGGAGATGAGTTGATATGAAATGATATGATATATCCCTATTTCCAACATTAAATTTTTCAAAAATAAATTCTTTGTAGGAACTTGCTCAATGTTTTAACAATTTTACATAAAATTATTCTCGTAATCAACAGTTTGCCTCCTTTTTAATCATGGTGGATATGAGAATCTTGTTACTATAACCTTCTAATTGTCTGATTATGGCAGATTCCCTCTTTGCTCGAAAGAGATGTTTCAGCTTCGAAACTATCTTTAAGGAAGGACAAGTTATTATCACATTGGACATAGTTAATTTGTGACGAAATCTGCAAAAGAACATTAAAATCGACGTTTTTTGGAAACTTTTCAAGCTTAGACATGTTGCTTTTCTTGATTGTACATACTTTCTTGTTGTCAACTTCAGCTGATATTTTATTTTTCACGGGATTCCATTTACTTGAATTCCAAGTATAATGTTGGACGAATTCATAGCTGATTAAAACGTTGTTTTTACAATTGCTGGGATCTTGTAAACAGTTAATTTTATCTGGATGACTCATTCAAATATAATATTGACATAATTTTTGTCGAGTCCAAATATGGTTCTTCCTGATACTTGTTATTCATGGCTGCAGTGTGAAGAAAATGATTGGAATATAATCCCACTTTTTTGAACAAATCATGTTAGTTATGGTTCTGACTAGTCTGCCAATGTGGATAAAGTTGGATAAACCTCAAAATTGTGTCCATCCAATCTGATTTGTTGGTATCGCTCTGCTTCGTATGAAATGTTCTTTAAACTTGGCTTGTAATAAAATCAAAATGAAGAAATAGCTAATGTCATAAAGACTACTTCTTCTAATCCTTATATGATTGGGAACAGTTATGATCCTACCCTGAAGTGTTCTAAGAGAAAATGATTTGTTTCTAATCATAAAATAAGAAATTCATCACGAATTGGATCAAATAAGAAGATTTTCGTCATGTGATGGCACACTTATTGAAATCGGTTTGGATACCCTTTATAAGAAAGTTGAATTCTGAACAATTGTTTTATTACATTTTTACCACTTTTTTAAATAGAACTAATATTAACATTTCAACACAATATTACATAAAGCATTATGTAACAATGTGAACACAACCTATACATCTTGAAAGTGACTATAAATAAATAAGTTTTATAGCGTGTTAAATTCATTAATGTATATATTACATACACATTAAATCCTAATAGATTATTATGTATTAAAAAAGTCGTTTTAGAATGTTAAGCTTACTAATAGAATTTATGTAACAATTTTCGCTAATAACGGCCTTGTTACTATGGCCATTAATTTCGTTTGAGTTCGAAAATCAAAAAGAGATTAATGTGGTAATAACGTCAAAGCATGTGCCAAATAAAATTAACATGGCTAGAATCGTGATAAACAAAACGGCTTTTGATGTAGACACTATTAATTTATTTTCATTGGTTTCATATTGTTTGAACAGGGCTTTATATTTTAATTATAATATGTAATAATAAAGTAGACGGTATATGTACTGTACAGGTATACACACGGTTGAGGTAATATTACAACATCCCAACGGAGCATGAACTCCACTCCTCCGGGCTGCGGTAAACTTCCTTCGTTTTGCGGCTACGTAAAAGCTTTTGTTAACAAAGCTCCTGTTCCGCAAAGCAAGCAACTCAATGAGCGTTACGGTGAGTCATACAGTTCTTTTTTAAACGTGCAGACTTTTCAATGCCGTTGCATAAAAAAAACTTGATTCCCTTTGTAGAGTAAAGACCTAGTTAATAAAACGGCCGTCCATCTATTTTACCAGAAGAGTAAGGTAACTTTAACATGGATAGAGGAACGGGTCAAGGTTCGGTCGTCCGGGTTTGACCTACTATCCCGGAAAAGGACGTAGTCGCGATGCACGTGCCACCCGCTCACCAAAAAGAAAATCATCGACTATATTCCTCTCGGCGCTCTGTGCTAGTTTAGCGTCGAGAAATAAATGGGACAAGACAAAGAACTTTAAAGTAAATTTAAATCCTCTCAAATTCGTAAAGTGAATAAGAAAGTAAATTGAAAATCCGATGGATGATTATAATAGTTGGAAAATAAAATAAATTTAAAAGTGAACTTGAATAAACAGAAAACGTGTGAAAACTTGGCAGAAAAACGAATATTCTTAAATACGTTGACTTTTCTAAAGATAACACATCTTTGTTGCTTTGAAAATATTAATAACGAAATTAAACGATTTGAAAAGTATGAGTAATAACGTTTTCCTAAACATCCTGACTCATAATACGTGTGTAAATTAAGTGAATCAGAGTGTAATTAGAGCTTTCTGAAATCACACTAATCAATACAGGTTAAAATTAAGAAAATATATAAATATTTTCAGTACATCAAAACGTTTATTTTAGAAATACTTTAATATTATTGAAATAGGTGTTGATACTTCGATTGAGAAATAGATACCAGATGGTTTAAGCCTATTTGTTCCACGTCCATTTTTGGTCTGCGGGAGCTTTTAAAGATGCCGCACCGCTTGGAAGCTCGGCTAGGCCGAGAGAGCTATTTTCGTTAGCGAATACAGAGAAAACGTTGCCCTTTCACACAGAGGCGTTCGTCCGGTAGAGGCCGCTCCTATAAATACGAAGGACACTACGAAGTTATTTGTCTTGTTTACTTGGCCAATATTATCAATCTTAAAATAATATTTCTTTTTGTACAAATATTTATTTTTGTTTTGAATTAATACTTATTTTTGTGTATTTATTGTATTTATTTTCATTGGTGGAATTAAAATTAGCTTTGAATCATTTGAAATGAATCATTTTAATGCGAAATCTAAAATTTGGATTTTCCCCATCTTATTCATTTTGACAAATCTTAAAGAAATAAACCTTATAGAAACTTAATGGGCATTAATTTTGCTTGATTGGTGGTAGAGCTTTTCCACGAGAAAATGCTTTGGCATAATCATCCATAAGATGATAGCTTGTGGCGAGATGGTGTTATTCTGGGTATATTGTTAAAAACATATCGTCTGGTGTTGTACTTCTTCAATACTATTTAGAAACATGCTTCTTACATATTTAAAATGTTGTTTTGAACTTGCAGTTTCTGTTTTGCAAGACATATTCAGACCATAGCAACTAAAACATGTCCGGTTAGGAGATGCGGGTTGAATTGAATCTGTATGTTGGTTTTGCCACGTGAGGCCGATCCTGTTTTACAAATCTACGTTGTATAAGATTATAAATAAAAACTTTGGCAACATTAATCATGAATGTGTTAACTCAAATTGCGATTGCGTTAAACCAGAGCAACTTTTTCTGCGTGATCCGCAGAATCCTCCCTACAGTCCTTCCTTGGCTCAGTTCCAAGAAATGTCTTTTAAGACCTCTCACCTTCTTTATGCCGCAGAACATTCCCTTAAGATTTTCCAAGCTATCAATCATTTACTTGCTATTTCCTTGACCGAAATATCCTCAGAGAAAATAATGTGGTCATCATGTGGTCACCCAAGACGTTCTTAAACCTTTCAAACCAATTATTCATCCCACATAGCACTGGTTACACAGCATGGGTTCTAAAATTGACCGTTGTGGACAGGCGCTGTTTACCGTATAATTCATGTTGTTGCAGTGTATCTCTTACTTAGAAAACTTTCAATCATATACATAGAGCACCCTAGACGAATGGGATCGTCTTAACCTTCCCTGTAGACCCGGCACTCATATCGTGTTAAACACCCCGATGACCCTGATCAGATGACTGCAATGTCAACGAAACGCAAAGGTGTATCAAATCTAATCCTGTATCTTGTGGTCAGAACGAAGTATTGACTGAAGCTTTCAACATTTTTCCTGCTTCTCTCAACACCTTCCAAGTTCCCTATTAAAATTGCTTCTGATATTTTCTGACATTGTCCGCGATATCTTCTATCTTCCCCAACCTTCCTCATATATCAACATCTTCCTTAATATTTTAAAACATCAAACCTGATATCTTGTAATATTATTCATTATATATCTGAATATCACTCATTTAACGTCTCCAATCTTCGTCGCCTTAGATTGCCTTCTTGCTTTCCTTAACATTCTCTACGTCATCTTTAGATTTTTATTGACACTCTTAAACATCTTGCTGGAGATCTTTCTACATTGTTCCAGGTTTCCTGAATCATCTATTAAAATTATCCCTGATATCTTCCAACATTGTTTTTGCTATCCTCTAATATCATACTCAACCCTCCTCAACTTGTACTAAGGCAACTATTAACATTGGTTCTAACATATTTCAACACAGTGTCGACCTCAAGTAAGATTTTCTCAAGTAACAACAGCTCTGATATTACTCAACATCGCCTTTTTAACAAGGTTTTGTGCTTTTTTAATGTTTTATCTATTAATATCAGTCATGATATTTCTAAATATTATCCCTGATATTTCTATTATCGCGTGACCTTCCTCAACATTGGTCAACTCCATCCTTGAATATAATGTTTGATATCTCTCAACACTTTGAATCACAAATCAATGTCGTCCCTGATGATCAATGATCAACCTTATAAACATTAACTTCAATTATTTATATTAAGGACATTGATTTATCGGAATACAACAATTATCACAATCCATGGATTTAACACACATTGACGCCCTACCTTGCATTGATTGCAAGGTAGGGCAACAAGCAACAAGCAATATCATCGGGTTTTCCACAATAATCAGGACAAACAGGTCCACATGGGTTATATATTTGATTAGGTGGACATTTTGGTGTAGAACATTGACTTTCTAATATACATTCATTAGAACCTCTATACTTTCTAACGTAACCAGCTTTGCATTCACAACCTTCAACGCACTTCCACGAACATGATGTGTCGAAGATGTTTCCACAATATTTTGTACAACCGGTTACACATGTATTATATTCTTCATTTTCTGTACAATTTCTCGCAAGAATTTCTGAAACTAATTCAAAAATATATCACCTGTATAATCTATAATGTATAAGTGTTTACCAGAAATAAAGAAAGCAGCAAAAACTACAATAAGTTTAGACATTTTAAAAACAGTAACTGAATATAAATTTTGTGTGTCAAGTTGCTTTTATACTAACAATCTATTTGTTTCATCAATTCCAAAAATTTCAAATAATTCTATTTCACAACACATTTTTGTCATACTCTTTAACAGATTACCATCTTTCCTGGGTTTCCCCACTTCGGTATTTACAGAAAAATGTTTTAAAGTAGTTAAAATGATGTTCATGTCTTAAACATTTACAGTGAAATTCCCCTAACTAATTTAGAAATGTACTTTTCTAATACGTATATTTAAAATAGAAAAAATAATCGGTAATTTTCTTTTAGCTTAAAGCGGACAACCGCTCTTTGTCAAAAAAATCTTCTATGAAATGTAGAGAATTATGAATGTTATCTGGAACATGCTCTCTTCACAATATAAAATTTTCAAGCTTTCTAAGAGAGGAATAAGCTTCATCAAATGTAGGCACAGCGATAAATACGCCATTTTCAAGATTATCATCACCCTCATCTGATTCTGAAACAATAAGAACATTAGGTTTGTTTTGGTTCAAGAGTCTGTAATTTCTGAGCCTGAGTCTATGTGGTTTGATTCTGTAGTTCCGCACGGTTCGGAACTCTTCCGCGCATACATATTGTATAAAGACGTATGCGCAGAACCGTTCGGAACTACAGAACTAAAGCAACCCTATTATTATTGGAACATTTGTAACAGATTAGCTAGCGGACTTCTCATAACGCTGTCTAAAATATCTTTGTCTGTTGGAGCGTCCATTGTATGGATACCATCATCGATATTTATATAATCATCAAATGAACACTGCATATCTACAGCGGTTTCATATAAAGACCATGAGCGCTTCATTTCAGACAAGGGATGAAGATCCTCTTCGTTCCAATAATCTTCTTCCAGCATTTCGGCGTTTTTAACAAACTTTGCCTTTTCGAAGCAATTCGCGATTATTCGTTGTTTTATATCTACCTTCCATGTTTTGTTTAAGTCTTTAATTGCATCAAGTAATGTTATTGTTGTAGAAGTAACTGCATCCATATTGGTTAACAATTTCATTAAAATTAGTTTTCTATAATGTTCTATAATACTACCCCCTATAATATAGGGGGTAGTATTAGGGGGAAAGTATGCCAGTTTAATATGTTTCAATTTAGATTGTATAGTCCGTGGATGAGCAGGACAATTGTCGACAAACAGTAGAATGCTTCTCTTTTGAGTACCAAATTTTTTATCTAATCCCAAGAGCCATTTTTCAAAAATATCACTCGTCATCCAGGCCTGTCTGTTATGTTCATAATTCACATGAAGCGACTTTATGCCATAAATTAAAATTAAAATCGTTGACAGTGTACTTTGAGGAATACCGAATTCAGCAGCAATTTCTTTTTTATTTTTTTCCCCTTTTTCTACCATCTTAATTAGCGATAGTTTTTCCGTAATCGTTAAGCACTTTAATTTTCGCTTATTAGTAGCCATTTTAAACACACTAGACACCACCTAGCAGCTTTAACAATAGCGAATGTTACGGCTTTCCGTAGTTGTAAACAAGTGAATTCAGAGAACTGGATATACACAGGGACTTTACCGGATTCGTTCGAACCATAAAATCACCCAAATAAAAAAAATGGTAAATTCGACTTATAGAAGTAAAAGTTGAAGAAATTCCATAGTAGTTCAGTTCGAGTTACAGAGAAATTCGAGTTAGGGAAATTCGACTTAGAGAGATAAAAACACATTTGAAACGTAGTCAAACCGTAGAGCTTACGAAAATTATTCAACTTAGGCCCGTTACTACCAAACCAATGCTATCTGTCAGTTAAGCTATCTATAAGATACAATTTATCTCGTAGATAACAGGGTAGTGCGTACTACCACCTCCATTTATCTCATAGTTAAGAAATCCTTGAGATAACCAAGAAATCTAGGGATTTTTTGATCTATTATGTTAAATTGACAGCTCTATGTGGTCAAAAGACCTACTATTAGGTATTTTGACGATATTCTAACCTGTTCTAACCTTAAAATTAAAATTTGGAAATGGAGACTGAGAAAAGGCGACGAACCACCAATTTCATCAAAGAAGAATGCGAACATCTTCTTGAATTTGTTATCAAACATAAAAACGTAATAGAAAACAAAAAAAGTGATGCAGTTACATGGCAAGGAAAGCAAAAAGTATGTATATCTCGTATTATTGTATGTTAAAATGTGATGGTAAACAATAATGGCACAACTAACATGATGAACGACTGAAGATGCCAATTGTACACTCACTCCTGCAAAATCTGCTATGGATAGCAACATGTTACTTATTGCATAAAACCGAAGAGTCAGCAACAAACGGTTTGAAGGAGGTACAGCATTATTACTAAAATGTTGATGAATTTTACATTAAATAATAGCAATCAACAAATTACTTACGTCATGGATGGAGGTTATATTACATCTTCTATTTGATTCAAAAGGTGATGAAAACTTTTTTTCGAGAGACGAAATCTCGTCATAAATTCAACATCTGAATGAATATTTAAATGGTCAACTCTACTCCTTATTATCCTTTCGCTTCTTATAGGAAATAATTCATTGATTTCTTCAAAAATTTGTTCTTCATCTCCAATGTCGAAGAAATTATCCATGATGATTTTATCTAATGTTAATTATTAATAGTTTTTTATTTAAGTTTATATTACTTTTCTTATTTTAACTGAAATAGTAAAACGCTCGAATTTTATACGTCAGTATAAATCCTATTTGAGGTTAGGTATCCGCAGTTATCCCTTAGATAGCAACTTATCCGACACCCAATCCACGGGTTACAGATATTTCAAAAGTTATCCCTTGGATAGCGGTATCTATAAGATAAATACAGTGGTAGTAACCAATTTTTAAGCTATCCGATAGATAACGCTATCAGCGACTTTAACTATGAGTGGTAGTAGTGGGCCTTACAGATATTTCAAAAGTTATCCCTTGGATAGCGGTATCTATAAGATAAATACAGTGGTAGTAACCAATTTTTAAGCTATCCGATAGATAACGCTATCAGAGACTTTAACTGTGAGTGGTAGTAGTGGGCCTTAGAGGATAATTCGAGATATAAAAATTCGAGTTAGGGGAATTTCACTGTACGTAAATAATTTTATTGTGATTCCGATTTCTATCTATTGCCATTCTCAACATGAACTACGACATTTCTTAATAGTAGCTCTGATATATATCAACAAAATCCTGATGCCAAGGAAGATTTTCTTCATCGATATCAACATCTTTCTCTACATCGCAAAATGTCATCACATATATGTCTCAATATCATCCCTGACATGTCTTGATATAATTACCTGATATCATTTAACTTCTTCAACAATGTCTATGGCATCCTCCAGTATCATGCAAGATATCATCGGCAATGTTCTCGCTGAGAGATATTTCACCATGGTTCTTGACATCTTCCATTATCGTCAGTGAATTTTCTCAACATTGCTTATGGCATCCCTCAATTTTATCTCTGATATCCCTCAACATATAATAAAGGTTCTTTATTACCTTTATCAGTATCTATTAATACCATTCTTGCAATCTCTAATTGTTCCTTGATATCTCACAACATTATTCCTGATAATTTTTCACTATCTTCTTTATTGTCTATTTTATTCTTCATCATCATCGATGACATTTCTTAACGTATTTCTTTAGCTGTAATTATATTCGCCAATATCGTCATTCCATTTTTCATCACTGATATATCCCAATTTCGCTCCTGAGATCTTCCAATATCATCTTTGGAATTCCTCAACATTATACGTTTTTTAAAAATGTTTTGGGCTTCCTCGACATTTTCCCCACCATTTATTAATATCAGTCTAGATATTTTTAAATTTTATCCTTCCTCAACATTGGTCAACGGTATCCTTGAATATTTGATATCTCTCAACACTTTCCTGCCCTTCTTAAATCAATGTCGTTCCTATCAAGTTATCCTATCATCTTTGAACCATTTAGGTTCACAAAAATTTTCGGCAAACCTTTCAATTTGTTTATCGAAGGGATTGTTGAACCAGAAAACAATACTAAAAGTTTTTTTTTTGCTATTTTATCTATATAATTTAGCAACTACATAAAAGGACAATAAAATGAAATCTTACTGGTATGTATATTTATTTCCCATCAAACTTACAAACGACGTTAAGGACATTTATTTTTTGGAATACAACAATCATTACAATTCTCCGATTTTTTTACGTAACCTGGTTCACATTCACACCCTACAACGCATTGCTCGGTACAAATAATATCTTTAGGTTGTCCACAATACTCAGGACAAGCTGTTCCACATGTGGTAAATCTTTGGTGAGGTGAACATGTTTGATTATAAGGACATTCGGATCTCAATATACACTGGGTGGAGTTTCCATCCTTTAAAATGTAATTATCTTTGCATTGACACTCTGGTACACACACAGCTAGGCATATCTTGAATTGGGGTTCACCGCAATATGGAGGGCAACTAGATCCACATGTTTTATATTCTTTATTTGGTGGACATTTTGGTATAGGACATTGACTTCTTAATATGCATTCGTTAGTTTCGTTGTTCTTTCTAATGTAACCATCTTTGCAGTGACAACCTTCCTCGCACTCCGTTGAACATGTGAAAGGTTTATTTCCACAATATTCCTTACAACCGGTCCAACATGTCTTATATTCTTCATTTTTTGTACAATTTCTCGCAAGAATTTCTGAAACTAATTCAAAAATGTATCACACGTTTTCTTTACAATCTGCAATCTATAATTGTTTACCAGAAATAAAGAAAACAGCAAAAACTAAAATGAGTTTAGACATTTTAAAAACATTAACTGAGTGGAAATGTTGTTTGTTACTCTTTTTATACTAACAAGCTATTTATTTTATCAATTCTAAAAATTCAAATAATAGACTCTATTTCCTAACATTTTTCTGTCATATTCTTTAATAGATTACCTTCTTTCCTGGGTTTTCCCCACTTCGGTATTAACAGAAAAATGTTTTAAAGTATTTAAAATCATGTTCATATCTTAAACATTTATATAAATAATTTTATTCTTATCCCGATATTTGTGGCCCCGCGATAATTTTATTTTCGGAACGATTCCATTTACATACGTCCATGTATTATTAATGAACGAAAACGGAGCGTATCGTAATGTTTCTAAAACATTCTCGGAGCGCAACGTCGTTGTCGTTCGTGCGCAATTTACTTTGTTATTGGTTTCGTCTTTGTTTGTTATCGTTTTTAAAACGATAATAAAACGTAGAAAGTGATTATATCAAGAAACATGGATTGCTGCACCCGATCTGCTCTAATTGACCCGGATCGTTATTAACAATTTAATTTCGTTCGGTTTGAAACGAGGGAAAGTTCCTTAACTGTTATTACTAAACGTTAAAACCACCGTGTGACAACTTGCGAATTACTTTATGTTATTTACTGTTAATTAAATTCCGAGTTCATTCAATATCGTTAAACTAATTGATTCATATGATTTCTACAAGTTATAAGAATTTATGATATTAATTTTAATTTTTTGGTTATTTTCAGATATGTTTTTCGGCTCATCTAATTGATCTGGACTCGTCTTTCAAGGTAAACCTATTATATACGATTATTTATATTAATTTATATCTACCTACATGGATTACGACCTTGTTTATTAAAGAAAATCGGTTTTATTGAACAGTATATCATACATTATCTATAAATAGAAGTTTGACCTCCTTGTGTTTATAAATAGAATTTTAATGATAACATTGAAGAAAAAATAGAATTTGGGGGTTTGTTAAAAGAATTTTATCGTCAACATTTTGCAATGAAATTTCCGTGATATAACAAAGTTCACGACAAATACCTTAAATGTATATGTACATAATAAAGCAAAAACGGATTTAAAAAAAACATGAAATAATTACGCGGACTTCCTGTTAGCTGTTTACGACATGCAAATTTCCAGACTTATATTATTACAAAAAAAAGTTGATTAGTAGCGGTGTTTTTAACCTTTAAATTTTTTTTTTATGATTAAGTTCTAAAATTAATTACTCTAATCGTATTGATGGTATTAATAATATCAGTCCTTGGACTATTTACAAGTGTCAAGAAATAAATGGGTGTAACACAGGTTGAAAGTATATTTCTCTTACGTGCGTGGTGAAAGATGACGAAACGAGGTGAGAGAAAGTGATTTTAAAATAATATTTAATGTTCCTTTTTTTGAAAGATAATATGTTTGCAAAGGAAAAATAATTATGTTGATATATCGATATCGTTTTTTTGACGTAAATATGTTAATGAATTTGGTATGATGAAATATTCTGTTTATTTCAATTTTTTTCTCATATAAAATAATCTCGGATTTTATTTTAAATGTTGTGGGTATTTTATATTTTTAATAAAATTTAGGAAAAATTCCCTCTTTAAGGCATATCTTTAGAAATTTGATAAGATATGTTGATACTTGATTATAGTGTGATAAATTTCCTACAACTTTTGTCTAAGGAAGAATTGTGTATCTCAGTTCTTCTTTAATAATTTGTTCCAGGATATTTCAATAATATTATCTTATTGTTTTTACATCATATCATAAACTAGAATCTTTAAGCTACAATTTAACCTACTTTCATGATATGATATGAAAGATAATTTCAGAAAGCTAGCTGCAATAGAACCCAAAAAGTCAGCAACATCCTGTTTTTTGGGTTCTATTGCAGCTAGCTTTCTGAAATTATCTTTCATATCATATCATGAAAGTAGGTTAAATTGTAGCTTAAAGATTCTAGTTTATGATATGATGTAAAAACAATAAGATAATATTATTGAAATATCCTGGAACAAATTATTAAAGAAGAACTGAGATACACAATTCTTCCTTAGACAAAAGTTGTAGGAAATTTATCACACTATAATCTGAAAATATTTTTATACATACAGGATGTTCCATAACGACGTACCGAAATAAACATATGTCATTTTAAATGGAATGATATAGTTTTTATTGCGTGTTCCGATTCTACACACAAAAATATGTTGACTTTGATAAGATATAAGTATTAAAAGAGTCACAATATACTTTCGTCTAAACCGATTTCGGGCCCTGCCCTTCCCCAGTAAATAGAACCCTACAAACGTACAAAATTTTTTATAATTATATGTTGCAGTAATTTAAACAGAATAAACTAAACTAACTGAATAGCATAAATAAAAGAGAACTTACGTTAAAATCGTAAAACATACATTGAGAACAGAATTGCCGGAAAAATTGTTGTAAACAGGTTATGTAACTGAGGTTAGGAGTGTTCATTAGGCGATTAAAGTAGAACACTACATGAAATCTAAAATCGACAATTATCATTAAAATCAAATTATACATTATAAATTATAAAAGTGATAAACGGTTATTGCAGGACTAATTCTGCCTCGAAAGCAAAACATAACTAATCAGTCAACATAACAATAATGGAAACTTAACAAAAGCTAGTTTTTTGTAGGGACATTTGGGGCATGGGGTGCAAAATTGATTCGCCTCCAAGCTCAATTTTCTCAAATTTAATTTTAAATTTTGTTCGCTCTCGAGAAGAAGAAAAATAATATAAAAAATAAATAATCCAGCCCATTTGTTATTGAAAACTAAAAATAATCTTTGCAAGAAACATTTTGACCTTAGCACATAAGAAGGAAACTAATATTTTATATATGTACTACATAACCTAACAAAACAAGACGAAAGCCTCCGAAGATGGCGTAGATCGCCGAAACGCGTCAGGCAGAGTTTACAATAAAAGCAAAAGATATACATTTAATTATTGCATATACAGGGTGATTCAAAAAACCGCTGACAGACTTCTAGAGTAGATAATACATGAAAAATTAAGATAAATAGTCTTAATATACATGGGGTCGCAAATACCTCGTTATCGAGATATAGCGGATCAAAGTTTCATTAAAATTAAAAATTATCTGCTACAAAAAGCACTTTTTTAAAAATATTGTCTTCGCCATTGCTCTCTACGTGTGTAAAGTGATTGGTCTCTTACAAAACTTTGATCAAAGCAATAGTTTTTAAGAAAAACACGTTTGTAGAAAATTTGTTAATCCAATCAAAAACTGTTGCTGTAATCAAAGATTTGTAAGAGACCAATTGATAGATAATTGATCACTTTACACGAAAATACTGCCCGTTTGACAAAATTAGCAGTGGAGTTGAAAATATTTTTAAAATAGGGCTTTTTATTGCAGATAATGTTTAATTTTAAAGAAACTTTGACCCGCTATATCTCATTAAGGAGGCATTTGCGACCCCATGTATATTAAGACTTTTCATCTTTATTTTTGATGTATTACCTGCCATAGAAGTCTGTCAGCGGTTTTTTGAATCACCCTGTATATATATATTGGTAACAAGGACCCACACCATGTAGAACAAATCAGTCAATATAATAATAATGGCAACTTAACAAAAGCTAGTTTTTGTGGGGGCATGGGGTGCAAGTGGTGCAAAATTGAGCCGCGTCCAAGCTCAATCTTCTCGTCCACTTACACAATTATTTAATTTTTATTTCTATTTTTGATCTTTATTTTTGGGAAAGGATCCTTTAGACATTGATATAACGATGTTGAATTGGGAACCACTTGTTCATTTAGGCTAACAATATTTTGGTTGTTTTTAATAAGCCCATCCTTGTTGTTGACTAGTATGTTTTTCAGGGTGTTTTTATTTTTGAATGAAACTGTTATATTGTTTCTATAAAAAATTCTCTCTATTTTGCAAGAGATATCTTCTGGAAATGTAATTGATCTGTATGCTGTATTTTCATTTTTCGTGGTGTTGTGTAGGGAGGTTATATTCTCTAAGTCGAATTTATTGAGATGAGTTTTTGTATATGTTGTTGTGGAATTTTTTTCCACTAGCAATCTGATGAATGACCTGAATTTCCCTTTCCAGTTCTTGTTGATCAAGATTTGATGTAAAACCCCTGTGTAAATAAGTTCGAAATGCTGAGAATTTTTGGTTGTTATCGTGATATGAGTCGAATGGAACTATTGCACTCGTCTGTGTCGGTTTCCTATATATATCAAACTTTATTTTATCTTGACATCGCTTCAGTGTAAAGTCCAGAAAATTAATCTTACTATCATTCTCTATTTCCACCGTGAAATTGATTTTGGGATGTAGCATATTAATGTATTATTTGATGTTCATTTTTGATAAATATAAGGACATCGTCCACGTATCTAATCCATAAAATAATTTCTTCTCTGTGTGGGTGTTGTTATTAATAATGCAATTACTTTCCAAATTGTTCATAAAGAAATCAGCCATAACCCCACTCAGCGGGGAACCCCGCAGGCAGAACAGGCAGAAATTTTGACCTAAGCATAGTTTAAAAAGGTTGTGTATAAATTCAGTCTTGTTGTCGTCCTTTATTTCTGTCTTAATAAACTTTATTAAGATGTGTTTAAGTGTTTCGGCTGTGGGTATGCTAGTGAGCAATATGCTAACATCAAAGGATATCATTCTGAAGCTATCCGGCAGTTTTAGTTTATTAATTATTCCAGGTAATTGATTACGGTTATTAATTGTATGTTCATGTTGGATTTTTATTTATGTCCTCAAAATTATTTTCATTTAGGAACTCATCCGTCTTCCTTAAGTATTCTTTCTTCTTCATTATAACCATTTCTGCATTTTTGTCTACTGGAGTTATTATTAGACCATCTTTAATTTTCTGTTTTATGTTCTTGATAATCTTGTGTTGTTCTTCTGCTTTCTTGTCATTCTTTCTTCGCCACTGTTGTCGGT